TGTTGGTCACGCCCCCGGCCCCGCACCAGCAGCTACCCCGGTCCCACGAGTGGTGGGTGTGGCCCCGGGGGGGGTCCGGGGTGGGGCATAAAACCCCATTTTTGGGGTTTAGCCCATGTGGTGCGCGCTTTCACTGCGCACCCCCCACTATATTTTTTTTTTTTTGAATTTTTTTTTTTTGCGGGGGGGTCTGGAGCTGGGGTTGGGGGTGCCCACCCCCGGAATCCCGGAACCCCGCGGGGGCTCGACAACCCTGATCTCAGAGCTAGTGGGATTAATTCTCGACATTGTATGAAGAGAGCAGTGATCTTGGGATTCCTTTGCGATGAGAAAGGTCGCCAGCCGGATGCGAAGAAGACTAATAAAATTTTGGAATGGCCGACCCCTTTCAAGTCAATCACGGATGTGCGAAGTTTCCTCGGAACCTGTGGATTTTTGTGCATCTTCATCCGCAGGTTTGCCGCCAGAGTGGAGCACTTGCGAAAGCTTGTGCGCAAAGGCCAGAAGTGGGGATGGGGTCCGAAGCAGCAAGCGGTCGTGGAAGACATAAAGACTGAGTTCCGTGAGGGTGGATTGATCCTTGGAGTTTCTTTTTTTGACGATGATGAAAAGCGTCATTTTGTTATTGAGACTGATGCGGGGCCCACAGCCCTAGGAGGGGTCTTGATTCAAAAGGATGCTGAGGGGCAGGAAAGGCCTCTCAGATTTGAGAGCAGGACTCTGAATGTTGCTGAGAGGAACTATTCCCAGTTCAAAAAAGAAACTTTGGTCGTGCTTCACTGCTTCCGCATCTCTCGGAATTATGTGTTCGGTATACGCTTTATCCTGCGGGTGGATCCGACTGCATTGGCTCAATCCTTAAGGAATTATTCACCTGCTGACCCCACCATTGCACGATGGTTGACTTATATTTGGATGTATGACTTTGAAATCGAGCGGATCTCGGGGAGTCAGAATCGTGTTGATGGGTTGAGTCGGGTTGAATGGGACCCAGAGGCGGATCAAGCGGAAGAATCAGTTCCGGTTTATGCCTTTCTGAAGGAAGAGGAGGCGTGATTGAGTATTAACACTTTTGCCTACCTGACTGATGCAGCCACTCAGCATGGGAAATCGATATGGAATGTTCCTGCCTTTCACGAGGTACGTCCAGAACTCGTGGTGGAGGAACCTTTCATCGAAAAGGGTCCATGGGGCGAGCAGACCGTAGAGGAAATGATGAGGCTGGCTTTGACCGGTGACATCGACCTTATGCTTGATCCGCTAACGATTGAACAAGGCCATACGCGGGCTGATGACGCTTTCCAGATCGTTGGAAGGATGTCATATATCATGAATTTGTTGGTTCACGAGGATCGCCTGAGGTGAATGAATGCGGAGGAAAGAGGCGGTGAGGTTAAAGAAGTGTTTAAGGAAAAGGAGTACGAAGGGGAATATAAGAAAATAGGCATGTCGTTGAATGGGGAATTGGGCGAAAGTGAGGTTGATCCGGTTGTGCGAGAGAAAAGCAAAGGATTCGTTGTTCGTGACGGTCATCTCTTTAAGAAGGCTGCTGATGGTGTCCCAAAGAGGGTGGTATGCGGGATCTCTCGGCAGTTGGATGTGATTGCTGCCCTGCATGATGGGGTAGCCGGCGGACACAGATCTGCGCGGGTAACTTTGAACAAGATCCAACGTCTTTATTTTGGGGAAGGGATGAGCAAGATGGTGATTGACTTTTGTAAATCTTGTTTCCCTTGCCAGCAGAGGTCTAACATCCGCTACCTCGAGCCCCTGAATCCACGTTATGTGGCAGAACCAGGTGCAGCGGTGCATTTGGATCTTTTGGTAATGCCATCTGGGATAAATGGATACAGATACATCTTTGATGCACGGGACAATTTGACTGGGTTCGTTGACGGTCGTGCCATTCGCGAACGTACTGGATCAGTCTTGGCAGAGTGGATTGAGGAATATTACCTCCGTTATCCATTTGTTCAAGAGATTGTTATAGATCGAGGAGACGAGTTTCGAACAAAGGAGGTGCAAACGCTTTTAAAGAGACTTGGGGTGAGTTTCAGTTATACGACGAGAGCGCATCCCCTGGCCAATGCACCCATGGAACGAGGACATACCACCTTGTCTAACTTCTTGGCTAAATGGTGCAAGGGGGAACCATCAAGATGACCAATTTATTTGAGGGCAACCTTTTTTGTTGAGAATGTTACCATCAAGCGAACAACCGGGTATGCTCCCGTCACATTATGGTTTGGACGGCATGCGACTTTTCCAATTGAGAGTTTCCTGACCACTTGGCAGAAACAGGACGTGGAAACAAAACTCTCAACAAAACAGTTGTTGGAATTGAGGGCAAGACAGATCATGGTGACTGAAGAACGGATTGAAGACGCGACTGTCTCTACTTCTGAAAGCAGGCAGGCTGATAAGGACAGATGAGACAAGAGGCCACATGTATGAAAAGAGCCGTTGGAAGTGGGAGACATCGTCTTGTTGTATGAAATGTCGCTAGAAAAACAGTGGTCTAGAAAACTAGACAGTCGGTGGCTAGGACCATATCGGATCACTAGGAAAACAGAACATGGGGCATATGAAATAGAGGAATTGGATGGATCTCGGAGTAGAAATTGGGTATCGGGTACACATCTACGGAAGTTTATCCCAAGAGTTTAGTGAAAACTTTTAGAAAGGAAGGGTAGAGGAGGTAATTGGTGATATTAATTTTGGTAACCTTCTTGCTTTTGTATTATGGTTCAGTTGGTACTGACTTTTGTCTTAGGCTAACCAAGAAAGTTGTAAAGTATTAATTGAAGTATTGAGGTTGAAAAGTTATCAATGGGATTGTGACTCTTGTTGCAAGATGATTATGATACCAAAGGACTTTGTGAGATTCTTATCATGATTAGATGTTCATTGCAAGAAGTGTATTGTGAAATAGTTGATGGATACTTATATTGTTGAAGTGTTCATCATATATGAGAAGGACTGAAAAAAAAAAAAAAAAAAAAAAAAACCTAGAATTCTTATGGGACTCCGTGTATGTGATTATGAATGTAAGAATTCGTCAGTGCGAGTCTAATGGGATGATCTGTACTTGAGTTATATGCCTGACTGTATTAACATGCGCTTATTCGTCAGGCATGTGATTCAATTATTTATCTTACCTTATGACTTCACTCTGTGTTAATTGTCATGCAATGAGGAATCCTAATGTTGTGAGCCCCGTAGACGGTAGTGAGGCCTGCGCCGAAACTTTGTTCCTGGTCCATAGCGGGATGCTGTCATTTCTCCTTTCGAGGGGGATGGCTACACTATCGTCGAAAGGGAGGAAGGTGGTAATATGTTTGTTGGAACTTGGCTTGTGAGGGTGGCGATTACCGCTCGTCATGAAGGAAAGGTTGATCACCTTTTCTTTTGTGGTGGATGGGGTCGCCTCGACTTTATGGCCGGGTCTGATCAGCTTAGGTCATAAGGGAGGGGTAGTTCAACCTTGCATGTAGGGTACTAACGGATGTATGATACTGGAATCGGAGGGAAGGTGGTGAGGCTCGAGTCTAAAGCGGGGTTTGACGTCGATATGTTATCCTCCATGGATCACACCACTCCTGGATGCATTCACAAGATATGTAGGAGATCAATCATGCATGGTGATTAAGTTGGAGTGAGAATTAGCCGGAGGCAGTCACGTTCAAGTCGAGTACTGACTCGTATAGTGGTAGCCGGACTACTTGCAAATGACATTCACACCAAAGTTGGAAAGATAGTGATGTCATTGCGAGAACAGTGTGATCCTAGCTCTACTTGAGAGTTGGGATGTCCGCATTTCCTTGCTTGCAGTCAGCATGCGGTGGAATGAAAGAACTCGGCAACGCATCTCATCGAGTCGAAAAAGTCGTGACAATCYAACCGTCTGACAAGTAGAGTGTAGATGCTTTAGTCGGATGTCATTTGAGYTTCGCATCGTGTATAAGTCATGCTTTGTCCTTTTGTTGATAAGTGAGGTCCGAAGGCGAGTCAACTCATGTGTCTCGTCGTTGGATGAAAGTCAAATCAACCCTTGTCAAATTGATCGGGGCGAGTGGTATGCATGACCGTATTATATATAAGTTGATCTCAGAATATATGTCAACTTACGTTGACCTGAGTCTTCTTTTGGTGTTTAACTTTTGATTGTCTTTGGAAGAAGGGACTATGATTGATTGAGGTTTTCTTACGCTTGGAATATTAYGTCCTAGTCGACCGACGTCGTTCCGATTCCTGGGAGATCARCGCCYCAGGGACGGGCGGCGTTCGGGTCCACTTGGCRTTTAACCATGTGTACCTATGCTACAGCGAACGAGCAAACGCCCTCGGCCGGCCTACCTCTGCAWTYGCATTATAAAAGCTTTCGCATGTGGGTCGGTAGCTCGGTAGGGATACGCCCCTAAGGGTGGTGACAGCCCCTTAGGGAAGGTAAGTTGTGCCCCGCGAGAACCTGTCCTGTCGTAGGGGACCGCGGGATGTACAGTTGGCGCACGGAGCGGCGAAGGGTCGACGCGGGTTACCGTGTCGTCCCTGAGTTGTCTCTAAAAAGTTGAAAGTCTAAGTTTCTCCTGCGTGACGCAGCCGGGAGGGCCTTCGCTCGCGCGGGGGCTGATGCGCTTGACACCGTCATGTTTGTTGAGAATGACCGTCTCTGTCCGACTTAGGAACGACCTACCCAGTAGGATAGGGTGGTCCAAATCAGGCATCACGAAAAAACAACTTCTTACTTTTACCTTCCCAATCTCTAGAATCACAGACGATGCGGTCCCTAAGAAAATCGACCGACTGTTTGCTCCCATCAGAACCCCGTTGTCGGAGCGATCTACCTCCATCCCTAGACGCACTGCATCTGCCTCCTTTATGAGGTTCATTTTTGCGCCGCTATCCACCATTGTTGTGCACGTCTTCCCTTTTACCACCACATCGAGGCACCCACAGGCTACTGACTTCCAGTCCATTTTCATGCCTGTCTCGGCCCACTCAGCCTCCTTAGGGATTATAGTCCCTAACCGCACGCTGGTCACCATCTTCCTGGATAGTCGCGCCCTTAGCTCATCCTTGAGCTTGGGCGCTGAGGCCAGGACATCCTTCAGGTTCATAAGATGGTTATGACCTTCGAGAATCCTGTCCATTATCTCTTTTACGTCGAACCCTTCCTCTACGCGGACCGTATACCTTTTCTTCTTTACTTCCTGTGCCTTGTCTGTGTCCGGCTTGGCACCTCTCTTTTTGGCTCGCTGTTCAGCCTTCTCATCCTCCTCTTTCCTCAACCTGTCATCCTCATCATCCACTCCCTCTGGAACGTCCACAACTTCCTTCTCTCCACTTGGTTCTGGAACATCCTTGGCTGGTTCTTCGGGAATCACTGACCCTTTAGCCCTCGTTCTGACGGCGTATGGCGGCCTCCCCGTCCGGGAATGTGGTCTGAAAGTCATTCCGGATCGAGGCATCGCTCCTGAGGTCGCGACGTTTGGTAGATTCCCGGATCCTCCTTGCGATCCCGGACCTTGGTCGTAGAGGTATACCGATGGCTCCTTACCTTGCCACTCCTTCACTTCTTCGCACATATCAGCCAACTTCTGTTGGTATCTCCCGACTTTGTCTATCAGGTCCTCCATTCTCTCTATTGCCTGTCGGGCCGTTCTCCAATAGTCTTCCCCTGTCTCAGCATGCAACGGCCTGTTCCAGTAATCTTCTTCAATCTCATCGTCCGACTCTACTATGATGGGCTCTGCCTTAGTAGTGTCGGCTTTCTGCTCTTGCTCCACCTCCTCGGTCTCTCCTACCTCCTCCACCCTAATGTCACTACGGACCTCTTTCTCCTGCCACATCCGAAACATGGCTGGAGGAGCGGGTGGTTCACCTGCCTCGGCTCGTCGYAGGGCCTCCTTCCTTGTCCCGCCTGGGGTCCTTGGATCAAGGTGGTACCCCCACTTGTCGTACATATCCCCATCATAGTTAGTACTGATCAGTCCTTCGTGCTCATCATTTCTCCTTACATGGCAGAACTTGATAGTGTGGCCTTTCTGCCCGCAGTGCCAACAAATGACATTTCTCCAATCTATCCTTCCTCTGCTAACGCCTCTTCCACCTTCCTGACCACCTTGACTTCCAGAGGCCGCCCAGTCCTCGTTTCCCCTGCCTGCAGCGTTACCACCACCATTCCCTCTGTCATTTCTTCCTCGGCCACCATTCTCTCGCCCTCGACCCCATCCTTGATTCTGACCACGTCCACCACCTTGGTTGCCTTGCGATCCTTGTGGGCCTGACTGCTGAGGTTGGTTAGGCGGTGGGGTTGGGTGGCTCACCTGCTGAGTTTGGGGTCCCGGGCAGCCGCAAGAAACTGTTTTCATCGGCGGTCCGGCACATGACCCATGCGGCCCACTCATTGGCCATGGGGCGTACAAACAGTGTCCATGCCAATGACTTGAAGGTCCACAACCTGGCCATGGCCCACAGTGTGCTGGTGCAGCCTGACTGAGTGACTCTGGGGGTGGCATTGCTACAGCTTGTGGGACTTGGCCCCTCCCTGAGCCTTGCCCCCCTTGAGCCAAATTCCTTGCTTTCCTTTGAGCCTTTGTCAACTTCTGCGGCTCAGGCTCCTCTTCCTCTTCCTCTTCTTCTTCCTCCTGCACCACCGCTTTCTTTGCTTTACTTTGGATCTGTGGTGCCGCCATAGTTTTCCTTCTTGCCTCCTTCGCTGCATCAAGTTGGGCCACCGCATCCTCCACCATTTTCTTGAAGTCGCGCCCATCACTCGTTGTAGCGTCTAAGGCCTTCCTTTTCTTCCTAGCCTGTCTCATCTGGAAGATGTCTACCTGGTCCAGTTCTCCGTCCATTACGCCTTCCTTTATGGCATCCCAAGTGAGCTTCTTCCCTGGAGCAACCTTCTTGGTAAGCGACGAGGCTTCCCAATTTTTGAAGTGCCCCAGGAAGGTAGCACACTGTTCCTCTTTTGCCAATCCTGGGACTTTCTTCACCATCTTCTCGAATGTCGTTGCAAATGCCCCCACCGTGGAAAACTCATCTCGCTGTAGCATCTCCAGATCCGTCTTTGTCAGCAAGCCATCTCCTAGCTTGAACCGCTTTTGCATTTCATCCTTGAACTTTTCCCAGTCTCCCCCTGCTCCAACAGCCAATTTCATGATTTCTGGCCGAATTTCCCACCATATGTATCGAGGTAGATACTTGAATTTATCCGCTTCTGGCACCTCGGCAGTAATCTGTTCCAGGAGCTCCAGCCACTTTGACACCCTCTCCTCTTCAAAATGGAAGATGTCAATCTTTGGTACTTGTAGCCGTGCCAACTCCCTTTTCTCGAGTGCCTTGACGAAGTCCTCCGGTGTAGCAGTCGGGCCCCGCTCGATTCCGTCGGTGTCCGGCATCTTCACTGCTGACAGGAGTAACAAGGGGTAGACCGGTAAGCAGTTCGTCAAGTTTCAGAGGACTTGCCCTACGTCATTCTTGACCATTCTACCCTCAAGTTCAGCTTCCCGCTCTACCATTAATCATTCGCGCCCAAGATACAACCTTCAATCGCAATCTATATCACCAAGTCTTATTATGCTCCTGTACACAGCCCTCTTATGTAAGACAATCCAACCTATAACCTTTGTCGTTTTGCCTAGATCATCAGCTTGCACTTAACCTGGGTTCGTTCTCTTAAGGACCCCGGTAGGCAGCCGAGATCCCCAGCAACGGCGCCACCTGTCGAGCGCATCGGTCCCACACGGGGACCCTCCCGGCCGCGTCACGCAGGATTATGCAGGATTTGTCGCGGAGAGCATTTGCCGCTCCGGCCGAGTGCGCCAGCCGTACCTCTCGCGAGCCCCTACGACAGGACAGGGTCACGTGAGGCACCGCTATCTCCACCTGCGGGAACTGTCACCATTCCTTAGGTGGGCGTATCCCTGCCGAGCTACTGAATTACATGCGAAAGTTTTTCGTATGCAATTGCAGAGGTGGTCCAGCCGAGGGCGTTTCTCGCTCGCTGTAGCATAGGGGGGTACGCGCGGTCGAACGCCCGAAAATCGAACCCGTACGCGAATCGCCGTACTGGGGGGCTGAAGTCCCAAACGCAACTCGACGTTGGTCGACTAGGACGCACTACATACCCACGCGTTACACCACAGTACTCACGCTTACTCACCCATAACACTTGGAACCCCACGCGAAACAAACACCACAAACAACGCCACAACACAACAACTCCTAGTCCCTTCAGTATCTGACCCATAACTCCTAGTACGAGGATCGGCGAGTGCTGCGCGCAAGGATCTAGTATAAGAGCGCGCGGACGCAGTACCCACACATACCAATTCACAATGCGGCTCTATGTGAGTATCTGCAGTGACGACGCATTATGTGGTGCCCATACCCAAATGGCCTCGTCGGAGCCATGGGGTTACTTCCGACGCTCAGGCGTTGGTTAAAGCACGCGCTAAGGGGAGGTAACCCTTTAGTGGGCGCAAAACCGGCCTGAGGGCCTTTCCGTCTTCTGCACCCTGAGGTGCCCCAAAGGGTGTGGGGTAAGACGACCCCTGGGGCAATAAGGAATTTGGAGCGGTGGTGAGTTGTCTGGCGCATCACCAGCGACACGCTAACCCTTCCGCCCGAAACTTTATCGTTCCACAAAAATAAACCCTGACAAGGAAAGGATACAAATACTTTTAGTATTATCAGAAAGGACACCGTCGGGATTAAGCCCTGTGGGGGTTTACCCGAATGTCTACTTGGATTATCACCTCAGCAGAACGGGGATAGCACAATCTCACTCAAACACAAAGGTTGTGGGGTAGTTCACTCTCACGACAGTTGTGTGGTCTGCCCATCTGAATCCACGCAATACCACTCAACATAAATCAATCGAGACTCTTCCATAAATACCTGCAATCACACCACGATAGCAAACAAAGATCCACATGCTACACGGGGTCAACTCCAACCATCCTCTCCACTCATACCCTGTGCTTTAGCCATGCAAGCCCAAGCCTCCGGCCAACCAACCATAATTAAGTACTCAGTACTTCTGTTAAATGGCCATTCAATAAAAGTCTGGGTGAAACCTTAACAAAACAGATAAAATCATCAGGGCCAAAACCTTTTTAGGCTGAGTATTGAGGGTGAATTGAGGTCGAGTCGTAGACGGACGAATCGGCAACCGACCTGTTATCAACGATAACAGAAGAGTAATCATTTTGACGAAATAACTTGATTAGATCAAGCCTTCAAGCGACAACACGGAAACCTGCATCACAGTACAGGCCAAAGGAAAGTACTACTTATTCCTGCGTCAAGGGGAGAACATTCCCCTAGTCACATCCTAGCTCCTCTACTAGTACCAAGTTACTGAGTATCTCCTTTAATCAGGCTGGATCTGTTAGGTAGCTCCCAACTGCAAAATATTCTAACTCCCTAAATTCTACGAAATTTCGGCAGCGCTTCCCGTAGGAAAAGTGTCTTCTCAGAATCCTATGAGCCAAAAAAACACTAACTCTTCCAGATTTGTAGAAATTCCGGCAGCGCTTCCCGTAGGAACAGGAGGCTGCCAAAATTTATACGAAGCTGAAAAAGCAGAAAGACAAAGCAACTATACTTGGGACTAACTTCTGACACTTGCTTGATGATCCAAACTCAATGACAGCCAACACGACCTCTAGATGAGACCGTGGGCTAGCATTGGGCCTAACCCCTAGCAGGGTCAGTCCTATCCTCATCCCATGTTTTCCCTCCCAACATCCACCTGACCTACCTATGGCTCCAACACTTGGCGAGCATCTAAAGCAACTAACCTATCGAAAAGACACCCCAAGTGAGACCCTACAATCATACAGGAGCATGCACCTCTCACAACCCCACATACATTTGCCCAGGTAGTTCGTTAGATCACTGAGTTGTTCCCTTTCAATAACCCCCTCACTTATGACATAGGATCAGACAATGCCCTAACTTAAGGGTATGTCCAACCTGCCTAAGTAAACAAGTAAAAGTACGCACAACTGGGCTGCCCTAACTTAAGGATATGCCCAACTCCAGATAAACTCTAGACATAAAACATGTGACCAGACCGCCCTAACTTAAGGGTATGCCTGGCTTCTGCTTAAACTGATGACATGAAGCATAAGACTAGACTGCCCTAACTTAAGGGTATGCCTAGCCAGCTTTACACAAAGTTGCATAAGGCATAGGATTAGACTGCCCCAACTTAGGGGTGTGCCTAACCTGCCTAGAACAAGCACGAACGACGAATGGTCAGACCGCCCCAACTTAAAGGTACGTCCAACCTACAGAACAAGCGCAAACGACGAATGGTCAGACCGCCCTGACTTTATGGTACGTCCAACCTACATCACATTAACGACAAGAGCCTATCACCAGGCCGCCCTAACTTAAGGGTACGCCTGACTGACCTAAACAGTTATAGTTACATAAGACAGAATCTGCCTGAACAGAGCACAACGACGTATGACTAAGCCGCCCTTACTTAAGGGTACGCTTAGCCTCCGTAACGACAATGATATGCAAAACCACCATTGATACATGCACAAACTTTATGTGTTTCTCTCTTATTAGGAAGATGATCAGACCTACCCAACTTAGGGAGACATCCAACCCTGCCTCGTGTTTAGAAGGGAAAATAAAACAAGTTTATACTAACTCACTGATCCTTTGTCTTATTACGAGCATAGGACCGAGCCGCCCTAACTTAAGGGTACGCTCAGCCTGCCCAGTTTACCTTCATTATATTCTTCATCACTTCTTTCCTCTTATTGTTCTACCTGACTTACTGACTGACTTTCTTAACTTAGGGTGCCCGGTCTGTCAGATGATATAGGTTCGTATAATATGTATCAAAGTTGTATACTTTGGTTGACCTTTGTGTTCATGGCTTATGACTGAGCCGCCCTAACTTAAGGGTACGCTCAACCTCATACTTGTGTCCCCCTCAGAAAAAACCACACACAGAATTGAGTCCACGCAACTTAGAGTGTTCTCAGCTCTATTTTCAGCAACTCATAAAAAGAAACACCAGGACTCTGAGCCTTCCCAACTTAGGGTGCCCGTCCTCCTATTCAGAAACCCCAGAAAAAAAACAGCGACTGGTCCGTCCAACTTAGGATAAACCCAGCCCTCAAAACCATTCACTCAGCCCAACAAACATGAATAAAACACAACACTGAGCCCACATCAACTTAGAGGAGCTCAGCCTTTGGTTGACCCAGTCAAACATGTCAAACTGCCTTCATCCCACCTTCCCCCCAGTTCAACTTTGTCTGAACTCACTCAGAGGATCTGCACTCTCATATATTGTTGATTTAACTTTCAAGATGCATGTCCTGACAGACATAACAAAAGTAAGAAGTAATAACCTCACATAGTTATGTTCAAATAGCCCAAGGATAAAGGTTTAGGGGAAGGGATCACACAGGTTAACGAGAATATACTTGAAGTCCCCTGCCTCCAAAACCCCGCCTGGGCTCCAGCAGAGCTCCCACAATCGGTGGGGCAACCTCCCACAGAGGCCTTGACGCGGACCTACGGGTTGCAATCCCGCCTGCCGCCTTCCTCTCGTAACCTCAGACTAGACTGAGAGTAAGAAGGGTAGAGGCATGTAGAGTAGACTCTCGAGATCCAAGAGAGGTGCGCTCAGACTCACTGGAGAGGGCCTCGTTACCTTGATACGCCTGAGGGCCCCGCAATGGCGGCCAAAAAAGCTTAGACGAAGAAGACTAGAACCACGATCTGAATGTAAGGCACAAGTCCCCAGACAGGCCTTCAATTCACCGCAATAGACCCTCCTTTGCTGAGTTGGACCCTTCCTCCAAAATTACCGCACACCCTTTTGACCGTACTGCACTCACACTGTCTAGAAATACTACGTTCGAATAGAGCACCCCCTCGTGCTCTATTCTGAGCACAAGGTAGAACTACACAGCCCTGAGCCAAACAACATCATGCATGGCAGATGAGCGCAGCCGCACCCTAGGGCGGCAATGCTCATTAACCAGCCCCACAAAACACAACAACCGTGCGCAGAGAGGGAGCGCTGCAGCAACCCAAATAGCCACTTCAATTCAGAGAATGCAGGCCGTAGTCTAGCACTGCTCTCGTGACACAGCAGTCAAGGTAGATCACGGTGCCCACAGCAGAAGAGAAGCGGAGGCTACCACAGCCCCACAGCCTTGGCGTAGTGGCAGTCTGATTCAATGGCAGCGGTAGCTGTTGTACAGTCCCAAAAAAAAAGTTGTTGTAGCGGCAGATGAAAACCCCACACAGCTCGTTGTATAGTCATGTTGCAGCCGTAACCTGCTCAACGCTTGCAGCCCTTGATAGTAGCAGCAATACGCTACACCCATAGTAAGGCAGTGCACCAACAGCCCCCGCCACCTGCCTCCTTCAGACGCCGCACTAGCTTCTAAGAAACAACAACTTTACCATTGGCGTACCAATATGACACAGAGGCGCCCAATCGTAGCACTACGAGATACTGGCAGA